GACAGGTGTGCCATGAAAGCCTGTGAAGATTGTTTATAACGTGGTCCTCATCCATTGGTCTTTGATTTCATGCTCAATTCTATTGCAAGCTGTGTTCGCAATACTGACGTCAGTTTGTGCTTAGTATAATTTTCGTCTATTCTTTGCATTGCTATTTGCGACGAAGCAGGCTAGAACCAGGGTAGCATGCATGCAGCCTTCAATATAACAGGATTGAAGATCTGAACGGGACTGGGGGTCAACGTGGAGATGGAGATCAAGGTTGGCTTCCAAATCGATGGAATATTTATCGTTATCCGATACCTGGCCATGATTGGAGATCAATTCATGGCCAGCATCACCCACTGACTGTAAAATGACGGGACGAGAGAGCTGGCTATGCGAGAAGGTAAAATCACGGAAGCATTCCTTCCGCCTGGTCTCGTCTCCGGGACATAACGAGCTCACGGCTCGCCGGTGCACCAGACGCGCTCGTAACTCGGCTACGGCCGCTGAGTGTCGCCGAAACGGCCCCTGGCCGGCTCGCGAGTCGCCACCGGCGTCACCAAGTGGCGCCATTCAAGGTCATAAGGTCAGCCGGCCGCCGAGATGACCCCCTAACCCCGGTGGCCCGGCCGGCAGCCAGTTCATGGGCGCGACTTGTCCACCTGACCCCACTGACCCGGCTACTGACCGATGATCAAACCCAGTGACCTTGTCTGCGCCGGGACGGTGTTGGATGTTGTGAGTGACCTTTGACCTCCACTTTTTATGTTGACCTTGGATGAGACAAGTATTCTTAAAGGCCAAGGTAGCCGCATTCCTTTTTAATTAATTCAGATTCTTGTGTGATTTTTTTTCATATGAATCAACCTTTAATTTGAAGAGCTATCTTTGACTTGCTCATTCTAACACTAAAACTGTTAGACTGTTAACCGAACAGTAAAATATAGTTTATAAATCACAAGTTACGCGGCTCGGAACCTTTGACTACTGAAAATAGACCACCTTCCATCTACTGTGATCTGATTTTGCTGTATCTCGCAGCCATTGTGGGCGGATGACACAAATCTACGGCGCGGTCGGTAGATCAGCGACTGCACAGAGGCGGCGGCGATCGCCACACAATATATGGGTGGACATCGAAAGGGCGACCATCACATAACGCTGGACCGCGCCTACTGGGCGCCGACCGCAGCTCTCGAGCGGGGGCGGCGGCGGCGTCTGAAGCCGCGCTGAGCCGTCGCACAAAGTCACATCACCCTGTCAGAAGCGGTGTGCTCCGGCAAGATTTGCCCACCCCGCCGCGCAGGGCCGGGGCCGTCCAACTGACAGTCAGTGTAGGCGAGAACAGTCCACTGTCATATGCAGGCTGCCATATACAGACTGCCATACACATTACACAGCCTCACAGCGACGTCCCCGTGCGCCATTTATGGCTTCGCGTTTTTGCGCGTTGTCTCGTGCGGGTTTGCAAGACGGCGATGAAGAGGTGATTTAGCGCGAGGACCTCCCCAGAACAGCTTGGTCATCGCGTCTGTCACCGCGGCCCCTTCAGGGGAACCGGTGAGAGCTGACGGGTGGGCGGACAGCCACGTCACTGTCCGGTCAAACAACGCATAACGCCGACTCATATGCAACTCAAGATGTGAAACTGGCCATAATATTGTATTCGCTAACTCAAAAGGAAAGCGTAACAGCATGAATAAAATGACATGCAGGTTAACCAAGTCAAATTTTCATACGAGCATACAGCAAGGTAATTACAGAGTATAAACATGGAGTTTTCCCCATATTTATAGTCACAGCCCATTAAATGTAAAAGGTAGATCGGAAGCTCTCCTATTTTACCCTCGCTGGCGCCAATGGTAATGGCGGGGCTGTCTACAGTATAACACTGATGACCATTCAGACCATTTCCCTGGGTAATTTATGACCAACATGTCATATGAATCACACATTGTGCCCAGACTTATCAGAAAATCGTCTCAGCAAAGCCTTCGAGTCGATAGCTGATGGCAATGGGTGGAGTCATTTGGAACACGCTGGCTCGTACTAATCGTGTCCATCGCTTAAATGTCATGTCCTGCACTTCAAGCACTGTGAACCGTGGGAAATGGTTGTAGCACTACTTGCTGAGCAAGCATTATGACGCTTGGCCTGGCCTGACTGTCTGAGGGTAAATGAAGAAAGAAATTAGTGAATGAAAAGGGTGAATAAAGAAGGTAAATAGGGCATATCATAATGGCGCAAGACCGCGCACTTATGGAAGCTTCGAATCAATTGCTAAGCCATAGTATGTATTTTTCCATCTGGCAATGCATTTTAACGTGTCCTGGTAACCCGATGCTGAAATTGCAGCAACATATGGTGGAAAGATGCACGTTACAAAACTGTATAAAAGCGGCTGCGTGTTTGCATAAAACATAAGGGGAACGCCTTCACTGCACCTATGTTTAATGTAAGTTAATTACATTATTTGCAAATATAAAATCATGGTAGGCAAATAAGAATATTTTGCTGGCATACAACGAGTTGAATGCTGCAAACACGATATTTTTAATTGCAAGTCACCGACGCACGACAAGAGATGCGCAAACGGAACAAACTATTGCACAGACAGATGCTGCTTGCAAGCTTGCATTGCAGCGTTACTACCTAAATTACCCGACAAATAGCATCTTGCTGTATACACAACCACTGCCTGCTTGATATTCTCATGACGGTTCATAAAGCTGTGGACGTCGTGAGCTCGAGATAACTGAATGCAAACAAAGCATTTTGGAGTGTTTGAAATCAAAACTTGAGGAGAGCACTGTCACTCTGCACCATCATCCACCAACGCTGGCTCAGAGAACAGAGAATAGAGACACTCTTTGCTGTCGATGACCTCTAGTTCTAGTCCAATGCTTCATAGACTCTGTTCTGTGCGGTGTGACGTTTTGCACCTCCTTCCGCATAACTGCAGAACTTCTGTTCCATTTTCTGCTGTCGACAGGCGGCTCACGAACAAGGACCACACCAGCTGCAGTGTTCGGAGCCACAGGCTGTTCCCACCTAAATCACAGTTCTGCAGAGAGTTTACAGTTAGGGCTTTCAAACGGGTCGCAAGAGAAGTAGTGAAAACTGGCTAGTCTATAGCTTTTCTATGTGGCTCGCTTTTACTTTTAATCCTAACTTTTCTCGATTGTCTGATAGTGAGATTACTCGCTTTGATGTTTACCGATCCGCTTTTACTGTCTATATGTACGTGTCCACTTTTGGATCTTTTGATCACGTTTTACACGTCTTATTTGTTTATCAATGCTTGTATGACGAAGACCTAGAATAGCCTCAACTTGAGGATTGGTCAGATATTGTGACAATAAACAGCCGGCAGACACTGCCCGCCCCAGGGGAATTCGCGAGATATTCACCACCGCGGCGAATATGGCGCAGCCGAAATGACGCACGGAAAGTACGGAGACAAAATTTAGTGGCCCAGGAAGGAGAAAATGGTCGGAGAAGTGGGTCGAGTTTTGGTGTTGCATGGTCGCTTCTAAAACGGCCTTTGCCATGGATAAGCTGATAAATATTGTTATCTTTGTTTTAAACGTAAATCAGTAAAGTAAACATCATAACTATGTTACTACCAATGCTTACGCATGCTTTCTCTGCCTCTTATACCAACTGTGTCTTATCTGTCGAGTGTTTCTTGCATCTCTGCCTCTGTCCCTGCCTCTCTTCCTCTGTCCCTGCCTCTGCTCGTTCTGTCCCTACCTCTGCCTCGACGACCCGACACCCAACCGAGCCAATTACTGCGTGGAATCTCGGTCCAGAAATCTCACAGCTCACAGATCAGAGGCCTGTGCGCTCGGCGAGGCCTGAATTGGACCGCACGCACATCTGAGGATTAGCGCACAGCTCCTGTCGTATGCAGCTCCCAGCTGAGGGCTTTTCCCAGTCACCAATCAGCTTCATCTGACGGTGGCTGTTGTGGCGCCCAGCGCTGCCCCGCGCTAGTCGTTTGTGAGCACCACGCCTGATCCCGAGCACGAAATCAGTCGACTCACAACGTGCTGCTATACGAGAGGCGACGGCGTGGAGCGGCCGTTTTTCCGCTCGATCAGACTGGGTGCGAAGCGGGACCCCCACCGGTAGAAGCCATCAGTCAGGGCGGATGAGAGCGGGGCAGTCGCTAGGTTTTTGAGAGCGTGCTAGATGGGGCTGAGGCCGTTTGGCCCACTCCGGCTCAGTTCGAGATGAGGGCAGCTTTGTGCTCTATGAAGGGGAACAGCGACCAAAGGGCGGGGCGAATTTCTCCCGACAAAAGTGTCACTAGAGAGACAGGTTTTGGGGTCGATAAAAACAGATGTAATCATTGCCTGCATTGTGTTGACGAAGTTACTCTACATTGCCGACACTGTTTCTTATTAGCTTTCTCTCAATCGTTTATCATTCACATAATTGGTCATATTGGTGCTGCTAAATGCTCTACGACGACAATAAAGTCATAAAATACTGAGGCGTTCCTCTGGACCTCTTCTGCACCAAATCTATCTAGATCAGATATGAATATGGCCGTAGTATATTTAGGGCATGATTAATAATCTCCCATCTCGCTAACAAGTTCTAGGACACCATTACGAGCCGCTCATTACCGTCTCTAGCGGCCCGTTGATGTGAGCACCCGCCAATCGAGACTGGCAGTAGCGGGCTGCACAGAGCGGATTCACGTCAGAGCCCTGCACGTCCCCGCTCCTCCCCGACCCGCGCCTCTGACACAATAACATTGCACTTCTACGCTCTCCTCTTCACTCCCCTACCAGGTGCGCGTGCGTAGCAGAAGGCGCCGTCCAGCGCGGCCCTCGACATACCAGCACGGCGCGCTTCATTCAGCGCCCACCGCCCCACAATCGCCCCCGCATTCCCAAACAAAATCGGCTGCCCTGTCGATAATAATCGCCGGGGCTCGGCCGGCCGCGCTGGGCAGTGATTTACAGGGCCGGCGCGGCGGGTGGCGCGTTCGCCGCGGTACTCACCCGACGCGCCGAGTTTGTAGCAGTGGTGGCGAGCGGGAGAGTCGCAATGGCGAGGAGAATACAGACTTTGGCTGCGTGCCGCGCCATCTGGAAACGAAAGGGAACTCGTCAACCGATTTGTCCTAGAAACGCTTCATCAATACCGACAACCACAAAATGCGGCACATGCCCAACAAACCCTCTTGCACAACACCACAATCACTACACGCTCGTCACAAACCGCGTCACAACCCTCGAGAGCACGGGTAACCACCGCAATCGCCTCATCTGCGCCGCGTGCCCCGCCGTTCGATGAGTCGCCAGATATGGGCGGGAGGCGCTCGCTCCGCGGCGGAGCGCTCGAGACTCGCTCTGAGGTGTTTGTGATGGGTTAATTGCAGTGCTGGTCGTGACACACTCTGACTGATTGGCGGGTTTGTTGTGGCCGGAGACGGTGAAGGAATGTGCCGCACTGTCATGCCACGAGCTGTGGAGGTGGTGGAGCGAGCCGAGGTGTCAGCGGGATGAGTCAGCGATACGGACGGACAGACTGACCGTCATAACTAGGAGCACGTGTATGATTTTTCATATGATTGAAAAATGCCAAGAAAGCGTTGTTGAAAAAATGCCAAGTCTTCCTCATTTCTCGATCATTCTCGGCAGATTTTAAGAACGTCCGTAATTAAAATTGCTTGAATAGCGAATAGTATCCGTTAAGACCTAGACAAAAAATAGCATTTTCTATTTTTATGCTTTTATCTCTGATAAAACCGGATGCAGCTTCCCCCACAGTCAACAAGTGAATTTATTGAACTCGATCATAATAAATAAACCAATGACGTATACTTTGCGCAAAAGTAGGTCAGAGGTATTGGTAAATTAAGTAGGGGAGATCCGTGTAAGACGCCCAGGGTCGGTAAGAGGCCCCATCGCTTTTTTTACCAAACCAATAATGTTATTTATTTTTTAATGTTCTTGTAAAGCAGAAGCCCTCTTGAAACAACAACTCACGAAACCTGAGGTATCAGGTGCGTCGCAGCGACTTTTGGTAAGCCTGTTTCTGTTTTTGCCCCTTTACTTGCTAGATATATGCATCTTTATCACCCTTATATATCTGAAAAAACAATGGCTATCAAATGCAATCTTATCTCATCGAAATTGTGACATGTTAGCTTCAGAATAGACCATGTTCTGGTGCGCTGCAAATGTCTCATAAACCATAAATATTGTGACGTTAAAACACTGCATTTTTTTAAGAGGCCCTCCCTTCGAGGATTATAAAACGCCCCCCGATAAAAAACGCCCCCGATGCTAAAACGCCTGCACCTGCGGCAGGCGTGGCATTCTTTTTTCAAGGAGTTTGTTTTTGTTTCTTTTTTTCTGTTTCTTTTTCTAGAGGTAATAGGTACAATTTTCGTTGGTCATCAGCGTTTGGTTGTGCTAGTTTTCGCATTGTTCGAGCGCTTTGGAAGTGTTATTGGTTTCGATAACACCGTATTTGCTTAGCTTTTCGAAATAAAAGGCCTTGCAGCTGTGTTCGCAAAACGTCTTTTACAAGTCGACTTGCCTTGTTAAACGCCCGAGGGGGGGGGGCGTCTTACCATACCCATAGTGTAAGAGGCCCTTTTGCAACTTTTTCCAAAATGTTAAAGTTTACGGTTTGTGTACCCCCTAGATTCATTTTGAATGCAAATATGTATGGGAAAATGATGCATGCTCACAGCGCATGCACACGTTAGCTCTTAAATATTATCAGTTGTCTAAAAATAGCAACTGAGCTTAAGGGGGGGCCTCCTGCACCACTCTCCCCTAAATGTTCACACCTACCAGTTACATTCCCAGTTGTTTTATGTTTTACCTGTTGTATTTCTTTTTTTCAGCCTGCAGCTGGATAATACATAGGTATATATCAATTAAATTACGAAGCAATTGCTATGCACGCCCTCAACTGCCTAAGTCTGTCGGTGATTGCATGATAACTGAAAGACAACAAGGAAAACTACGCGACGGTAGTAAAATATCATTTTAGGCTTTTATGTCCAATTAATTCGAAGGATATCAAAAAATAAATACAATACCGTTTCATTAAATAATTTAAATATCACTATTAGCATTTTTAAATTAAGCGGTATTTATTAGCGTTTACGGCAGTGGCTTCGCCTCCTATCCAGAAGCCTGCTTTGTTGCCCGTTTAGGGCATCTCATTGTGATGCAAATATTGGGAAGTGAGCACGTCACTGAACAAACTCGGCTGGTTGGCGGATGATTCAACAGCCTGTTCTAATCCATTCGCCGACAGCCCGTGAGCCCGACCGAGGCGCCCAAATCAAAACAGACAGCTAACCGACTTCCATGCCAGCTCCACGGCGGATTATCGCGTGCAACGGCCTCACGAAGAGGGATTTTGCATTCACATCGCAGTCATCAGCTGAGTTTGAGTCTGCCACTTAGCGGCACGGCACCGCACAGAGTACACGGCCAAGTTTGGGCAGTATTTGAGCGAACCGAGTCAATCGTTGCATGTTGACACTGCCGTTGCGCCGCCGGTCGAAAGGTCGATAACTGAGTGGCGAACCATGCGCGGCGCGTTTGGAGCCAGTGCGCTGCGTCGACGATCTTAGCGCAGTACAGCCCTGTTCTCCCCGCTTGGTGAACACCCAGTAATCTCAGCTGGGGAGGTCGCACCGCCCGGCAGACACATGTTTTACATTAGAGAAGTGACGCGTTTTGCCCAATGAGGAGCGCCAGCATCGCTGGGCGGCTTGTCATTGCAGAAGGACCTCCAGCGTCCCTCAGAGCGGGGAGGCGGGCGGGCACTCAGACTCTCCTCGGCGATGATTGCAGGTTGACAGAGGGCGGGGCGCCGCTAAACATGAGTGGATAACGAGTCAGACAGAGAGGTGAGAGCAGATCTGGAGAGGGAGAGAGCGGGGGCTGATCCGAGCCGGGCAGTAGAGGATGGGAGGTGGCATAGAAAAGAGGTACGAACAAATGAAAGGAGATGGAAACTCTGAGAAGAAAGGAAACACAGGATATTATGGGAAATGAAACCACAGAAAAAGGAGACAGGGAGAGAAATACATATCAGGAACGAGTGAAAACGAGAAAGAAAGAAAGTAAGATAAAGGAGGAGCCAGAGAGGAAGAGGGTGGAGTCTGTGTGAGTCTCAGCGAAGAGATGTTAAGGGGAGATTAGGGAGAACCTAAAAAGAAAGGCGGATCGTGGTAATGACATACCCATTCAAACTTGAAAATGTAAGTAATAAACGGTTCTAAAAAAAAAAAAAAACGCTTCAAAGGGAATAAATTATGATATAAAAGTATCCATTTCTTAACAGTTTACCCTTAGTTTCATTCTTCAGTAACTCTAGGTCAAACTTATCGCTTTTCTACCAAGCACAAAGAACGCTAAGTACAAATAGTAATACCTGACCGCCCTGACCCAAAGATTCCAGCTGAGTTGAACCCATTCCCACCGAGGCGACCACCGCCCCAGCCCGGAACTGCGGCTCACCTCACACGGGGTGACACCTGAGCCGACCCGACCCCGACACCACCCGGTGGCTGACACGACCGAGGTGTCACGCTCAGTCAGTTTTTCACATGGAGACAGAAAACATAGTGCAGCCTGGCCGAACCGGTAGTGTTCTGAATGTGGAACGCACTTTGGTGGGTGGGTACTGGGTGTTTGTGCTAGTCATTATGTAAAGAGAGCCAGTGAATTGATTGCATAGGAAGAGTATTATGCGTCAAATACGTTTGTATATCGAACAGCGTAAGATGCAGCATTTTCATTGCTAGTATATCAAAGGAGAATGCTCATTTAGCATACAAAGCGACGTAACACAAAGTACGAAAGAAGACTTTATCACAAACCTTCTTGCTTCATAGGTTTTACGACAGTTTCTACAGTCTAAACCCCTCCCCCACTTCGCACAAACAGTCAATTCTGTTGAGCAGTGTAAGTCACCTGGCAGCGTTTATCTCCACAGAAGCGAGACAAACATTTCGGTTAGTGCTCACAGCTAATCTGGGTGGCGTTAATCCGCTTAACAATGGCCCTCGCTCCTGGCGAGCTGCAGTTAACGTGAGGTCGTTAGCGCGGATCAGGAGGCCGCTCTGATGATTTGATTAGCCTCGCTCGCACACACCCCATACCAGAGCCGCGGCTGCTGGAATGGCTGGCACGCGGAGGAATGAGGGTTGCAACATGGTCACTGTTACTGCAGGGGTTGGTGATCGGCCTAAAGCACGGCAGCCACACTACTTGGTATGTGAAAGAAAGGACAGCCCCAACTCAAAACGCTTCGATCAAATATTTCCGCTCAGTCAGCGGTAAGGTTAGGGTCTGGGGATCGCTGAGAACAAGGAAGAAGGGTGCGGCATCAGCTCGGCGGCTTCTCCGAGGCGATGTACCGCGCTCTCAGCCACTCCCGTCGCCCCTGGCAGCAGCCGCGGTCCACGGAGACATTCTGGGAACCCATTGCTGCCGTCGCGTAACCCGGAGGCCTGATGGTAGAAGTGAGAACGGCGTATATGAGATCCGGCGGCGGCGCTCCCCCAAACTGCTCTATAGGACGTCCTGTCTAAATTACCACTCGGCGCTTACGATGCCCTGTTTGAATTATGACCACCAGAAGTGTGGCTACGCCCGGAGATATAGCGAGCGAAACGGCCCACTGTTGTCTAGGCGCTATGGAACAAAATGAGCACTTCGCAGGGGCTGCACTGAAGTTTTTTTTTTTACTTTATTTATTTGACGAACAGCTCTAATAAATATTTCTATTAAATGAGCCATTCAAACCTTACGCCTCTTCATCATGCATTTATCATGAGATCATGTACATATAGTGTGTATCGTGTATCATATTGACCAGACACAAAAATGCACAAAAAGTTGCCTTGGTGTAAATATGATGACACGCACGCTTTATAGTCGAGTAGTTATGAGGATTCTCCATCCCCAAACAAGATCAGCGGAAGCCCCACTGGGCACCGTGCGAACTAGCCAGTCCCAGGTGTCCTCAATTTCACGCAAAGTGTCACTGGGGCCAGTCAACGCGTTTTCACTCCTCAGTTCCTATATCTGACATCCCAATACCGTCATTA